ACATCAAACATGTATATTTCTTCTCTAATCATTTTACCAGTACCAATAAAATTAACCTTTAATTGGCTCTTACAGTTTGTGTGTTCTTAATATTGTCACTTTTCCCGTGCCAGTCTGTAACTCAAAACCAGCTGGGAGCTGTGGTTCGATTACACTGCCCATTTTCTCTCTTTGTCTTCTTCACTTTTATTTTTCAGCCAAAAATAAAAAGGAAATATTGCGTCAGACAGCCAAACTACACTTTTCTCAAAACCATATTTTTCATATAACATATTGTGTCATCTTCGTCCTTTCTCTTCTTTCCGTTCCGTCCCTTTATCCTCTTTAATCTCCCTCGTCGTGCCGTCTGCCAGGCCCTCGAGGAACGTCTAAAGCAGGAGCAGCGGGAGGAGGTTCACGCTTTGAAGGAGGCCCACAGGAGGACTTTAGAAATCCTCAGACAGCAGTCGGACCAGGAGCTGCAGACACTGCGATTTGAATTGGAGGACGAGGGGAAAGCAAAGCTGGGTAAATGATGATAGATATAGTAAACGTGGCTTTGACACGTCTAGCTTTGTAGTAATCGATCGGGGTTGTTTCCACACTGCCAGCCTCGCTCTGTGGCGTGGTTTTAAATTGCAGCAATGATTTTTTTCCCACCCTTTGGTGATTGTGTTTCTACCTCCTGAGACGTTCTGGTTCTGTTTCTGCCTGCTGTGCTGATGTTTTTGTCCATAGTGATTACAACAAAATCACCTTCATTATCTGCCTTTTGCTGTTTAGAAGAATAGAAGAAGAAAGAAACATTTGGTGGTTGAATCGTAAGACGCTTTCGGAAACCAGGATGAAATTAACTAATGGTGAAATTAGCTTTCTGAGATCTGTGAACATGTGCTAGGTGATAAAATTGATCTCAGTAGTTGCCTCCAATATTAAACCAACTAAAAGAATAAGTCGTGAAAGTACGATGTAGGAAAGGAGTCACAAAAAATGAGAATATCTTTAATTTCTTCGCACTGTTGTCATTTTTCTACATAAACTACATAAAAAATGATGCCTCACATTACCTGCGGCGTCTCTTTCCTGCAGCCTCTCTTCGTGCAGAACTGAACCACCTCCACGCGACAGCCATCGAGCATCTGAAGCAAATCCACCTCAAAGAACACGCTGCCATCAAACGAGAGCTGGAGAAAGCCATGGAGCACAGCCAAAAGCAGGTGACAGTGACAGTGGTTTAGTTCTGTTTATGTTCTTCGCTCTCAGTGTTTCGCCCTGAGTGATCTCAAGGTTTAAAAGCCTTCTAGCAAATAACTGCCTATTCTGTATTATGTGCATCCTCTAGGAACAAGATCTCTTAATTCGTATCTCAGACCTGCAAGCGGAGCTGTGTTCCCGTAGCAACCGTATCACCGATCTGGACCATGAGATTCACTCTCTGAACGAGACCATCGACACGCTAACCAGAGAGCTGGAGCTGAAGGGCAAAGAGGTGCTGCGGGTCCGCAGCGAAGCTAACCATCAGATAAGGTTCAGTAGCTCAGCAGACTTTATCCTCCCATTACCCTTAAATACTCTTGCTTATATAAGAGCACACTTAGCACTTAGTTTCTCCTACGCCGGGCGGCGCATCGGGCAGCTAGTGATCTCCATCGATGTCGGTCAGCAGCGACTGCTTCAGCTTCGTCCCAGGCAATGTCGACAGTTCTCAGATCGTCCATGAATGTTCAACGCCATGTGGTCTTTGGTCGGCCTTGCTTTCGCTTGCCAGTGCGTGGACGCCATGTCATGGCAATCTTAGCTGGGCGATGAGGGGGTAGGCGTAAAATATGGCCCGCAAAGCGGAAGCGCCTTTCTGCAACAACATTGGCTAATGGGCAGGTGCCTGCTCTTTTCTCAGGATTCGCCGCAGGCCATGTTGTTGAAGCACGTTCAGGTGTTGAATAATTGCACTTGTTGAGCGCCAGGTTTCACTAGCGTAAAGTGCAGTAGAGAAGACGATAGAGTTCAATGGTCTGATCTTGACCCTAACATTCAGGGAGGTCGAGTTCCAAATAGGTTGGAGACGTCGCAGGACACCAACCGCCTTCCCTACTCTGGCGTCGACATCCCGATCAGAGACCCCGTCATTCGAGATGATGCTGCCAAGATATGTAAAATTCTCCACCTCTTCAGCACGTTGTTGGTTGATCATGACAGGAATGCGGGCACGTGCATAGCCAACTCGGAGTACCTTGGTTTTTTTGGCGCTGAGTATATAAGAGCAAGAGTATTTAAGTAAATAATATTTGTGAAATTTGTGCATCAACCATCCAATTTTAAATATGCATTCACTGCATAAAGCTAGAATTTCACAGTTGCCTTTTAAGTAAAGGTGACATCACATTTGTGAAATCATGTTAAACTGTATTTTTAGTCTTTTTCTGAGGATTTACATCTTCTGAAAAAAGTCACGTTTATTCATAAGTGCAGTTTTTTCAAGCTACTTTACATTAGACGTGTTTTTCACAGTCTAAAAATATATTTTTATTTCATTTTCACATATGTAAATTTTTTTCCAGTGTAGCTCTGTCTGACCATTTCAGTTAAAACACCAGTACTCTGTTTATTGAAGCCATAGCTATAATACCCAGTAAAACAACAAAGTCTATGGATGATCTATCAGTGTCAGCATTTATTTATATTAATACTGATTCTGATCAGTTTCTGGTGAACTTTAAACATGTTTTGCTCTAAATCAAGCACAGTGTTATCAGCATCATGCTTTAGATAACGTGGGTAAAGGACCTCTCAGCTCAGAGTTTCCTGTTTCACACGCCTGCTTCCACAACTCCAGCCTCTTCTAAGCCAGCAGAGTTTGTATTGACTTAAAATGAATCAGTGTTGCCTTCCAGCTTTACGACGGGCAGTATAAAAGATGGATGTAGCTACCATGAAGTCAATCATGGTATTTAATTGCCATCTTGGTTTGGAGCAGGGCTTGATCTGTCTGCATATTATACCCTCATTGTCAATCACAGGTGGCTAGCCAATCAGCATAGCCCAGATAGCCCTCCGTTTTGGAACATGGGATGATCAAGATTTACAAAACAGACTTCATTTTTTATTTAATAAGATCCAAAATTGGTGAAGGAGCCCATAAACTCAGCAGGAAAATGTTTATAAAGGTGAACACACAAAGCGGTTTTACCATAGGCTTCTGTAGGATCCAAAGTCTTTTTGTAGCCACCACTGTCGCCATCTGGTGGCTAGAATGCAGGTTAAGGCACTTGTGTACTGGTTTCATTTTTCTTGCGTGGAAAAACGCCACAAAGTCTTTTGCCTACCGCATTTTGACTCCCGTGCACTTTTTTTCTAACCTAAAGACCACTGTGACTATGTTTGCTTCTCCAGCTTTAACCTCCTAAGACCCGAACTCTTCCACAGCATGCATTTTTAATTTTTCTTTGATATTTGGGC